TCCACTCTGTAGGGAAAGCCTGAATTTTCTTAGTGGTTGTGACAAGAATGCTGGTAAAAATATAAACAGTAAGGGCCATTCTGATTAGGTCTTACATACCATGAGGAATACTTTATTAGAAACTTAAGAAAAGGCCATCCTTGATATAAAATGGCAAAAAATGTTGACTGAATTATGTCTATGTCCTAAGAATCTATAGAAGGCAGAATTTAAGGACAATGAGTGAACTAGGATATTTGACCCCGGAAATCTCTAAGCAGCAAAATGTTGAAGGAGCTGCATGGCTTCTTTTACTTGTTCATTATAAAATGAGAGATGAGAGAAATTGTTTAAGATGGAATTTATAATCAAAAGGGAAGGAGAACATAAATATTTGAAAAATTCTTATACTGCCAAGGAAAAGAATAAAAAAGCATGTTTAGGAGAGAAAAGCAAAGGTGTGGCCAAGCTGCCATCTAATAAGGAGATCAGTAAGGATAGAACCGAGACAGATGCTATTCATCAAGACAACGGGAGAATGACTCCAAAGGCATTTCTGAGGTCTTCTAGGCTGCCACAGTGTTCATCACAGGCCCACAATGCCAAAGCCTTGAAGGCAGAAGGCAGATGGGCCAAGTGCACCCATGGGACCTGAGTGCTTGCTGCTCAGGACTCCCTCAAATCTTTGCTTCCTAAATTGCAGTGCAGTGCTCCTTGACCAGCCAAGCTGTGCCTCAAGTGGACCCAGGTGGAGCTCGGGCCACCCCTCTGGAAGGCACAAGCTGTACACCTCACCCGTGTCTTCATAGTGCTAATTCTGCAGGCTTGCAGAGTGCAAGAGCTGCAGAGGCATGGCTCCCCCCTTCTAGATTTCAAATAATGTTTCATACAGCCTCAGGCTCAGGCCCTGGAAGAGACTTACCACAGGGATGGGATCACTGCAGAGAACTCCAACTGGGGTAACACTTAAAGCCATAGGGACAGAGCTGCCCCAGAGACTCCAGACTAGTAGAGCCACCAGCATACAAGGCTAGCCCAGGAGAGGTATAGCCACCCATCTCCCACCCATGAGAGCTGTGGCATGGGCTGCACCTACCAAAGCTATGGGGGTAGGGTCCTTTGGGGCCTTAACATCCCAATGTTTGCCCCAGTATGTCCAGAGGCAGAATATGGAGTCAAAGAAGATTATTCTCAAGCCTGAAGTTTTAATGTTGTTTGTCCAGTTAGGTTTTGTACTTGCTTGGGACCTGTCACCCCTTCTTTTTTTCCTATTGCTCCTTTTTGGAATGGAAATATGTCTACCCTATGCCCATCCCACTCCCCCCATCGTATTCTGGAAGCACATAACTTGTTTAATTTCACAGGTTCACAGCTGAAAGGAAATTTGTGTCAGGATGAATTGTACCTTGAATCTCATTCACGTGATATTTAGATGAGACTCTGGACTTCAGACTTTTGAGTTGATGCTGGAACAAGTTAAGATTTGGGGGCTGTTGGGATGGAATGGGTGTATTTTTCATGTGAGAAAGATATGAATTGGGGGGGACCAGGGGCAAAATGCTATGGTTTGAATTTGTCACATCCAAAATTCAGATGTTGTAAATATGATAGTCTTAAGGGAATCTTTAAGGAGTGATTAGGTCATGAGGGCTTCTTCCTCATGAATGGGATTAAGGGTTTTATAAAAGAGGCTTCACAAAGCATTCAGTCTCTTGCCCTTCCACTTTCTTCCATGTGAGGACATAGCATTCCTCCCTTCCAAAGAATGCAGCCTGGAGGATGCAGCATTTGCCTAATAAATGAAACCATCAGCACCTTGATCTTGGACTTCCTAGCCTCCATAACTATGATAAAATAAATTTCTATTCTTTATAAATTACACAGTCTCAGGTATTTTATTGTAACAGCACAAAACAAACTAAGATCCAATGAGATAATCTAACTGATTTAATTAGGATAATATTCTATTTTAATGTACATTTTTTTAGAAAAACTGTTTTTTCTTGTTAATCTATGCATAATCCTCAACATAACAGGTTTTATTTATAGAAATTGGAATGAAACACTCTTTAAAAGGTATCATCATTCAGTGTAACTCTCAGAATTAAGCATAAAATGTCTAAAGAAAGAACATAATGTAAATTATAAGCTAAGAAATCATCAGGGAATTTAAAAATAATTCTGTAGAAATGATGACATACAATGATTGACCTTGTCATCAAAACAATGATAACAAGTTCAATTGTATGACCAGTGGCTTTATTAGATTATTTTATATTTTATGACCATCTAATTATTTATGTAAGTTCAATAAAAATGGATTCTGTTTCTTACCAGAATATAATTGGATAAATCAAATTCGTAACTATAACCAAGCTAAAAATCTTGTTAACTGGGTCAGATAAGCCTACCGTTAAGAAGCAAGGACTATGCTTCACATGTGGAAATTATGCCTATAAATTCTCCCCAGGAAAAATTGCCTGATACCTGCCCTGTGGCATACAAAGCCCCAGCCTTATAGGTAGTAAAGAATGTCACTTCCAATAGGCTGGAACACCAACAAAAAAGAAATCACAGTGACATATGACCCCCTTACACATACAGGTGCTGCAGGAGAAGCCTAATAGCAGCAAATGAGATGATTGTTAGTTCCTAATCTCCACAGAATTGATAAGAACAGTAGAATTCTCCAGTGACATAAAAGTAAATCACAACCTCAGGTCATTAAATACCTCCAGATAAAAGTTAACTTTTAAGGTTTAATATTTTGTAGGTCCAGATTTTTTCATCATACTAAAAAGAGGTCAAAATCATTGGAATAAGCTGGTCAAATGAAACCAAATATCAAATTAATAGCACTGGAACAGAAAATCACTAAGCATTTTCTGTAGTCAAATTGGCACCTTGGTGACAAGCACTTGACCACAGGAAGCAAAGCCAACATTTGGTACTTCTTTTGATAAGAGTAAACAGTTCACATACCATGGTCAAAAAGAATACTTTATGCTCTGGGGAAAAAATAATAATAGGAACCCTAACAACTGGTTTTGATCCCCCAAATAATACAGATCTGAACATGTTATATAAATCTGAATTCCCTGGCATAAATAATTTTGTCCCTGATCTGTTCTATGCAGATGTTGAAGTTGTGCTGTGGCCTTTGTGAATGTAATGATCATGTCACATAGTTGCTGTTTTCCACTTTGAACATATTGTTATGAACTCAGAAACCAAATTTTGAAAACCAAATTTTGCAGGATATTTTCTTTTGAAATACTTGACATTGTGTTATTGGGTGAACCAGTCTCTCTTCTTTGCAGTCAATTTACTCTTTTGTTTTCTAAATGTTTATAATTCTGAGTCTTTCCTTGACAAATCCTGTATTGGTAGAAAGCCAGGCAAACAAATACACATATGTATGTATTTGTATACCATTCCTCCCCTGTTTGTGGAGGAAAATGTGAAAATAATAATAAGTGGTAAAATAATAAGTGGTAAAACTTGTACAAAAAATTAAATGCAGCATGGGATTAATTACCAAAATGAGTGATTTAGAGATTAAATGCAAAAGGACATCAAGAAGGAATATATTACTCAGGTTGGATGGTTGGACGATTCTTCTGAGAAGCACTAATTTTATTGCTAGACAGACTTAAGGTGGATAATGAAGAGCCTTCAAAATGGAAGGAAGAATACAAGTTAAGACACAGAATATTATAGCACTAACTTTTCTCTTTGTGAAACTGTGAAGATTTTACTTGACTCTTCTGACACATATCTTTCTATAATATTTAAGAGCTTCATATGAAAAGAGGCAATTCTTATGAGAAAAATTTTAGAGGTCAAAAAAGAAGGTCATAATATCTCTTGGAATTCTGGAGTTACAGGATCTTCAAAGTACTTGGAAAAGTTCTTCATTTATTATTAGACAAGGTAAAGTTAAATGCATTACTGCCTGTCTAGAGCATACTAAAATAAAGTTTTCAATATTTTTCTAAATAAAATTACACATTTTCCAGGCATGAACAGAATTTTTGCAATGAGAGAAAAATAATCAGTGTTTTTTTCCTCTGCTAAGACCAAAGAAATTCAGTACATTCTCACTGCAGAACCTCATTTGGTCTTGTTCTACTATTGACATTTCTTAGTGAGATTTTTGCTTTGGGTGCTCCGCTGGCAAGGGATTGGTAGCGGAAGTTGAGTTCCTGTTGTTTCCCTATATGCTTAATTTTTAATGACAAGTCTCTGAATTACCAGATTGTGTCAATTACTCTCCAAGAAATCTAATTTTGTTAATGAAATTAGTTGCTTGGGAAGAGAAACATAAGCATTAATTTCAGTTTAGCAGTTTCTCTTTGAGCTGCAGCAGGTGCTATTTGACTGAATTGCCAACACTTGATAAGAGTTTATTGGTCCTCACGCTCAAATCAAATCAATGCTGTCCCAACAACTCTGAAGCCAAGAACATGGCATGTGGCAGTAGATCTAGAAAACAAACTTCTCAAACTCCAGTAAAATACATAGTCATTTCTCTATATAGAATCAACATGATATTCATTTTTTAAAATTATCCCAAGGCTACAATTTACAAATACCAAAGGAAGTAAAAAGTTAAAGAAACTGCCCATAATAGTTCGGGACCAAAGCACATTTGCCCAGGAATACCTCTCTAAATCAGTCTAAAATGTAATTATCATTTGAATTATCAAGATGATTCCCTATGTGTTATTCTACTTGCTTTGTCAATAAAAAAAAAAAACTCTTAGTGTAACCCATGTTCTAACTTCTTATGGCTTTGAACAGATTATTGCAGTGAAGGTATATAATGATCATCTATTGCAGCAAAATCACAGAACAAATTTTACTCACTCATTTATTCACTCATTCTTATTCCAAATAAGTTTGAATGTTATTTCCTTGACACAAAAACACAAAGAATCCAGCATTCCTCTGAAATGTGACATTATTTACCACTCTATGGAAATATGTTAAATTCTTAAAATAGAATTTCTTCTCTCAGTCAGGAGTTTCAGCTATCAAACACTTCCCATTACCTATGGAGCAACAAATCTTAACACTTACTCAGCACCTCCTATATACCAGGATACAGCAATAAATAAAAATCAAGTCCTGGCCCTCCTGGATCTGACATTCTAGTGAAGATGGTCCCGATGCAATTTCTTGTCTGGCCCAGACCCTAAAGAGAACCAGGAAAAGTATCGTTGAGGAGGCCCCATTTCTCTGAGACAGAAAAAATGAGCATGAAGAAGGAGGGCCTTATAGGTAGTAAGAAAATATAAAGGTCCTTAGGAAAGGCTTTGTGGAAGAGGAGATACCTGAGCAGGTCTTGAAGAGTGAACATTAATCCAAGAGAAAAGCACTCCAGGCAGAGGAAGAAGGAGTGAAGGTAAACGCAGGGAGGCAAGACAAAACCCACTTCATTCAGAGGGGTGTAAGTGGCTTTTTGATTATCAGGCACTCTCAGGATGGGAGAAGAGGCAAGGCTGAAAATACGGATAGCACCTGGACTCTGCCGGGTCTGTGGGACAAGCTCCAGGGATTTGAGGATCCTCCTTTCTCCAGCCTCTCTTCTCCTAAAGCAGGCGTCCTCAAACTACAGCCCCCAGGCCACATGTGGCCCACCGAGGACATTTATCCAGCCCTAAGGGTGTTTTTGCCGTTGCTACCTGTCCTGCTTAGCAGCCCACTCGTTCAGGGCCTGCAGTGCGCATGTGTGGAATGTACACCGCACTCTCCAAGGGCCCTCCAACGGTCTGAGGGACAGTGAACTGGCCCGCTGTTTAAAAAGTTTGAGGACCCCTGTCCTAAAGGGACACAGAATAACAAAATAACAAAAATAAAAAAAGGAATGAAAGCATCATGTGCTTGTTTGACTGGATAATCAATTCTGAGTACTTGTCTGTTTTTTGCTTATATATATGTATATATATAAATACATATATATAAATATGTAGATATATATATACACACACTTCCTTTCATTAAATTTTTAAGGCATTTAGGAAAGTTTTTAAATTGTAACTTCAAAATGATTAAACTAATATAACACTGTGTACAATAAACCTTATGTACTGTGCAAACACTAGACAATGAACTATGTAACAGTTACAGTCTTATAACTAAGTTACAAAAATATTGTCTCACATATTATCTTATTCAATCATCAAAGTAGTACCACAAGGTAGAAAATGTATGATTACTTCATTTTAAAGATGAGAAAAAACAGGTGCAAAAGTTGTTTTCACTGGATCAGGTTTCTAACAGTGGCCATCTCTCTCCAAATCCTGGGATCTTTCATCTAGCAATGACTAGTTTGTCACCATACTAAGCATATTTATACATAAACTCTAGTAGTTTCATTCCAATAAAAATTCCTTTTAAAGGAAAGTGGGCTTTGCTGGGTTTGAATCATGGATGTGCTAGTACCCATGGGGCCGTCCATTCACTCTGCAGTGGGTGCTGCTCAAGAGATGGTCCAGTGGCTTCTCACCACCTATAGTCCCCTGCGGCTTTGCATTTACCTCCAGTACTCCTCTCCTGGCTCCAAACTTTAAAACAATTCATCTTTTCTTTTTGTCAGTGCTGACTTGGGCCACCTCCAGGGGTTACAGGATGGCCTACAGGCTGAGCACCCATTGAATGCAGTTCTCCTTTTGTTTGCTTGAACTGCTGTGCGGGACCCAAACTCTGCCCTTGACAAAGTATAACTCTATTGGGAAATAAAATAATTACTCATATGAAACAGTTAAAAAAAATGACAGGTGATAAAAAATTCAGTTAAATATACTCTTCCTCTATCTTGATTACAACTGCTTTTTAAGTAAAATGCTTTGGAGAACTTTATAAAATTTTCATTTTTGTTTAAAAATGTACTAGTCCATTCATGTACCTGAGGAGTTTTTTTATTAATGCTTCCTGTAGGACGTTGTATGACAAATAATAACAATATATTAGGAACACTTTTACTAATAAGGTATTATAATATTGTTGAATTTCAGGTAGCACCATACATTTGAATTAAAATGAAATATAAAGTCTTACCACATCGGATTAGTACGAACATTTATGAATCTGTTGTTATCGTTTGAGTTATTCACACAGCATGTTACTGTGCAGATACTCACCAACACCCACAGGGAGAGTCTGTCGAAGCCATCCGCTTAGTACTGAGCCATCCAGGGGTAGGAGTGTGGGTCCTTCTGCCCTGGCTCATCATTTTTCCATGCTGAGCATCCCTTGTGCTCAGCCTTGCTCAGGACTAGCCCTCTTGGTTAACTCCTGCAATTCCTCACTGGCATCATTCTGCTGCTTCTGCTTCCCTCTGAGGCTGGGGGAATCTCAGTTGAGTCTCCTACTGCTCTTTTCCTCTTCTGTGCTGCTCTCCTGCATGCAGGAGTTGCACTTCCTACTTTTTTCACACCCTAGAGGAGGAGTACAAGAAACTCTAAATCAATCGTAGGTCCATCTGTCTAGACACACTGCACATATATGGATATGGGTATGTTTATATACTAGGCCTGAACTTCCTCTCTGGGCTGGACCCAAGAAATGTGTCCTCCTCTGCCCTCTGCTCTTTCAGACCTCTTTGAGTTTGTTGTTCCCGTGACACCCACAGCCCTGGTTTCTTAGCCCCCAGAGCATCTTCTCATTCCTGGTTTCCCTTTCGTCTCTCTTCCTATACCTGTGTCAAAGAAAATGATCATCTAGTCTGAAGTTTACACAGGTGGCAGACAGGTGAGGGCAGAACTTTACTACTTTTTATATCGCTCTCATCATTTTGCATTATACAAGTTTTATGTTCACTTTCTGAGGCCTAAGCTTTTGAATTCTCAAAAATTAAGAATTAACCCTTTGTTTTCTCTGTTTTTGGCTAGGTTTTCTTTCCTTGAGGCAAAGACGCAAAATGCTGAGCAGATCGACTAGGGCTAATAGGTAAAAGGAAGTATGAAAAAGGCAGCAATTATCATAGCATCCCTTCATACCACTGGTAATAATGATAAACCATATATGCAACTATTTACCAATTTCAAATTTTAATGGTGCTGATCATTTATCAATATTATAAAGTATTTAACTTTTATGTTTACATACCTTTCTTGTAGATTTCAAATTCTTTCTTATGATATAAAACAAAGCATTCTTTATTAAAGGAAAAACTTCCTATATAGCAACTGTTAACTCTGGCCTAATAGGTAGTGAGAGGGCGAGCTATGCATATACATCAGAAAATTTTTCTATTTCCTTAAGGTTGAGAAATCCTCCTTATCCTTGTGTTCCTCGGGAAGGAGCTTTGATGAGCATATTATGGCCCTCCCACCTGCTCTTTTCAATTTGCTCTGCCATCTCAAATTCTTCCCCACCTTTACTTTCTCTCTTCCTTTGTTCTTCATTTGAAAAAGAAATGTCTTTCCCCTTTGCCAAAGTGAATCTCTCTTTTCACTGGCACTTCTGACCCCCTACCTCCAGGAGCTCACCTTGCAGAATAGCAGTGAGTATGGAGTTTGTTATCATCTGTGGACTCATAGCCTGGGCCTGACCCTTTTTAGTTGTGTGATCCTGTGCAAGCCACTTAACATTCCACAGCTCAGGCTCTTCCCTTGAAAAATAGAATCATAACTGAGCCTGCCATGTAGTAAGTTCTCAAAAATTTGAGAGATGTTTTATCATTGTCTCTCTTACTTTCTTGTATCTTCACTCCTTTCTCATACTGATAATTCTGCTTCTTTTCCAACAAATATTCTGAGTTCTCTCTGAATCTGAACAAAAACAAGAGTCCTTTGACCTTGTGGCATGCTGTCCTTACCACACCCCATGCCTCTCTCCCTTTGCCACCTAATTTTTCCCACAGCTATTCCTGAGGTCTTTCCTGATCACCTTAAATTTCCTCACTTTGACTACTGATGTTATTGAAATTATTCCTTCACTGGTAACAATGACCTTCTAATAACAAAGTCCTGTGTCTTTTCTCTATTTTTAAACTCCTTGAAACATCTGCCCCATTTAACACTGTTGGATATTCCTTTGTTTAAAATAATTTATTCCTAGGCCTCTATTATTATGCTATCTCTGCATATCTTTGATCACTCTTTTCTCTTCTACCTACAAATGTAGCTGCTTTTTCAGTTTCTTTCTGTGGCCCTCCTTCTATTAGACATACATAATTCTTTTTGAAATTTTACCAAATTTAATACTCCTCTCTGAATGACCCAAAGGGTGTAGTATTCACCCTGAATTAAAAATCTTATGAATTACATGCTTGGATATTCTGCCATAGCCTTGAACTCAAAATACTCCATAAACCAAAGTCATCCCACTCTTCCTAAACCAGCTCTTCTTAACTCTGTGATAAAGATATTGACATTGACTCCCTGGCAACCTGATTCAAATCTGAGAGTTGCTTCCTTTTCTACCACCTCCTACCACCAATCAGTCACCAATCCTATAAATTCCAACTCCATAATATTTTCACATTCATCACTGTCTTCCAGTTTAATTGTTGCCACCATGGTTCAGAGGTTTATTACTTCTTATCTGAACTACCATAATAACCTCTTAATTTGTTCTGACTCATCTTAAGTCCTTCAGCTTCCCTTCCCCTCATTTTTCAACTAATTCATTGCCAGTGCCAGATAAATCTTCAGTTAAATTTAATAGGTGTTTATGAATAAGAAGCTTGCCACAGAGAGAAAAGAAGAATTAGTATTTTGGGACAGCAGCTGGGTGCCATGCTACATATCTCATTTAATATTCAAAACAAATTGTGATGGACATACCTAGTTGCCCATGCAATATCCATTTCCTCCATCTTTCTTCCAAAGAGAACTCTAATCTTATTCATTACTACCAGCCCCACCCTTCTTCTTCCAAAGGAAAATTCTAATTAGTCCACGCTGGTCAGCTTTACCTTTTTTCTGGCTATTGTTTTTGGTCTTAGGGTAATTGTATGTCCTAAAATGACTTCTAAGTATAAAGGGAAGAATTTGTTTTTCATGGTTGGCCAAGAATCTCTCCTTCTACCATTATATAGGAAAAGGAGCATCTTGCCCAGGTACCCCCAGCCACCAATTTAGGATCATGAGAAGAGCAAACCTGACTACAAAGGTACAAAGACAGAAGGGTTGAATGGAAGAGTCAAAGAGTGACACACTGTGCCTCCTTCCCCCTGGACTATTTGTCACACAAGGCAATATCTTTCCTATTTGTTAAGCCATTTCAAGTTGACTATTCTCTTACCTGACACCAACATCTGCCTATGAGCAACCCTATGATGTGGAGACAGACTCAGACAGGCCCAAGTCTACATGGCTGGTGGCAGCAAAGCCAAGATGTGAAGCTGCATTTTCTTGATTACAAAGAACTTGCCTTTTTTACATTATTTGATTAGGACTGTAATCAGCTCAAAACCTGTAGAAACATTTTAGACAGTTATTGAGACATGACTATTATGTACTGTTACAAGTTGCTTTATGGGTATTAACTCATTGACTCCTTGAAATCACCCTATGAAGCCCCCACATAATCCTCATTTTACAAGACTGAGAGAGGCTAAATAGCTTTCTCAAGGTCACATAGCATATAATTATCCAAGCATGGAATTGAACCAAGGTTTTCTGACCAGAGGACCCCTGCTCCTAATCACTAGGGTTACACATTTCTTTATGCACACTTTGTGCGTGCACAGCACTGAAAACACAGATACGTTGCTTTGGTACACTCTATTTATGAGAAAAGTTGTGAGAGCCTGCTGCATGAGAAATCTGGCTTACAGTAGCAATTTCTGCATATATCAGAGGGAGGCTGGCAGGAGGATGGAAAAAAAGGGCTATTTGAATGGAGATACTAGATCTGACATGAAATAATCTTTTGGCTGAAGAGGAGGCAGTTTCCCCTTTCACATCAGGGGTGAGGCCTTGTAATGCTGCTGGCAGTGGAAGTTCTCAAAGAAATCTTCACATATGGCTTAAGTTTGAATTTGCAATGATACCCAGAGACCCCGGCCAACTACTATAAGGGGTCCTCCACAGTACTGGAATTAATTCCAAACTTCTTAGCCTAGAATTTATATTCTGCTTCTAATCTACTTTTCCAGCTCTCCTCCCTCCTACCCCCTGCCCCAATCCTTGTCTTTTATACATGTCATTTCCTCTACTTGAACTTGGATAATGAAAAGTTGTTTTACATTGGTTCTGATAATTTCTTTATAGGGTAATTTAATTTGCTTATAGATAATTTTAAAAATACAACTAGCATCTATTTACTAGAAATAGAACTAACCTCAACAGTTGGATGTCTTTGTAATAATGCAATGGGACATATGGTGAGGGCAATGCTAGAATCCTAGAAAATGAGGTTAGCTCAGTGGGAAACTCCATTTTATATTTCAAAAAAACTCTGTTCAAGTCCTACTCAACTAAGAAATGAAATAAGGTTCCTGTTTGTGCTATATTATAGAAATGTGCACTATCTGTCCTCGCTCCTAAAGAGAAGCCAGGGCACAAATTAACTAGCCTCGTAGAGCTTCACATACCTGTAATTTAATAAAGTAACTACAGAATATCACCCACAGGGTTTATAGCTAACTCTTCATTTTTTTTTCACTGTGGATATAAAATAACTCATCCCTCCATAGCTTATGTTTAAAATGATGTCTTGGGAATCAGTGAAATGTAATTTATCTTCACTAATAACAATAGATTATTAAGGTACTGTTTGTCACTGGAATAGAAGGTCTAATCAAAGGGTAATATTCCAATTTTTTTTCATGGGATTAGAAATGTTCTATCTGAATAAGATGAATATTGGACATTCGTTTTTCTTCTTCAACTGCCACTGAGACACTGGGGAGACCATAAACAGTAAATAGGAAGATTAACAATATCATAGAATCAGTGATTTGAGGAATGGGGAAATATTTTCAGGTCATTATCAATCTGAATTTTTTTCTTTTTCCACAAAAAATAAGGTGCTTTAAAAATCACTCTAAATACCACAAGGTATATCAGAGAAAGAATTTAATAAAAAAAAACAAGAACAAGATCTGGTGCTATCTGGTTTTGCATGTTACACTAAGTTTTCCTGATTCCCAACAGGAAGATAATTCACATCACATACAGCTTTGCAGCACACTAAATTTTATTAATGGAAACCTATTATCTATCTAGTTGGAGGAATGGAGAGGGCAAATAGGTTAAAATTTTTCTCTTAACTATTAATTAATGTGCCTCAGGTGGTCTCCTTCCCATTAATTTTATTGTACTACAAGAAAATATAGTTAAGAGCAACTGTACATGTTAATCAGTGCTGCTTGCAAAATACTACAAGACAGAGACCTGAATGTCCTCCCTCTAAATCAATAACATAACACCACCATCAGAGCAGAAGCTATTAAACACTGCCCATGCCAGCACATACACCATGGCTAATTCTACCCACATCTATGTTTCTAACTAGATTGGTGTTTATGTTAAAATAACCAAATCAATAAAATGTCTTATACTCAGATGTGGTCTACATGAAATATTGTAGCAACAAGAACACAAATTAAAGCATGCAAATAAAATTTAAATTATGTTCATTTTATTTAGGTTTGGGATATGTGAATATTATCAGATTTTTAGAGAAAAAACGTTTATCAGCTTGCATTAAACCATCTCTAACAAGTAAGAAACAGAATGTCAAATAGTCTTTTAAGCAAATAAAAAAAGGATGTATTAGGACTTTTCATTTGAAAGTGACAGGAACACATTCTAGCCATCTTAAGAGAGGAAGGGAATTTATCGCTCAAATAATTAGAAAGGGTAGAGCTAGGGACAGTTTCAGAGATAACCAGGATACAAACATCATCATGTCCCTCTTTTTCTTGTTTTTGTTTTCTTTTCCTCTCTGTATTTTCTTCCTTGTTTCTAAAGTTTCTCTGTGTGGCAGCCTCACTCTCTTCTATATTGATGGTTTTCTCCACGGGCAACAATGTATGAATGTATATATGCAGACAGACAAGAATAGAATAGATGGAGTAAGAGAGAAGCAATTTCCAAAGGAAGTTGGGGGGTTGGAAGGGATACTTTTATAAGAAGAGTAAAAGTTGGATAGGAACCCCAAACAACAGAAATCTATGATTACTATCTCTCCCATTCTTAATGGTTAACTTGTAACCCAGGCATAATCAATTATCAGGATCAATATCTTCAGATCAGCAGCATCAGTATCTCCTGGAAAATTGTTGGGAATGCATATTCTCCAGACCTACTGAATCAAAACTCTGGGAGAGGGGCCCAGCAATCTGTTTTCATGAGCCTTCTAAGTGATTCTGGTGTATGCTAGGGTTTGAGAACCACTGTTCCACATGAAGATTCCAGATTGTCATCATGAACATATACCCTGTATATCCAAGCATCCCATGTCCACCTTAAATTGCATAGGTTTATGACAGACCTCATCATAATCTCCCAAAGTTGTTACTACTCTAATATTTCTATTCTTAGTTAATGACCCACTATCCATCTGGAAATTTGAGATTCTCCTACCCTAGCCCTCACTTAGAATGAACTGTAAAATCCTGCCTATTTGACCTCCTGTACATTTATATCAGTCTGTCTACTGATGTACCTAGAACCTGCCTTCACCACAACTTTAAATTCATTTCTCTTCTGTAGACAAAAATATATAATTAAAGTGCAGATCTAACAGTGTCTTATCTCTGTTAAAATATTTGCAAGACTCATAGAAAAAAAGCCCACAGAAGAAATTGCACACTCTGTAGCTGAAGAACTATCTTAATCTGTACTCGCTCTCCCCACATTGTAAGTTAAGCTTCCGAGATCTATGAGCTCCCAGGTTTTCTATTAAAAAATCATGCTGTGTTTAACTTTTTGTATTTCAGCATATTGGGGGTACAAATGTTTAGGTTACATGTGTTGCTTTCTCCCCCCCACCCCCCGTCAGAGCTTCAAGCGTGTCCATCCCCCAGATGGTGCGCATCGCACTCATTATGTATGTATCGGTATATACCCATCCCTCCTCCCCCTTCCATCTGCCTGACGCCCAATAAATGTTATTCGTACTGTATATGTTCACTTAGGTTTTGATCAGGGAAACCAATTTGATGGTGAGTACATGTGGTACTTATTTTTCTGTTCTTGGGATACTTCACTTAGTAGAATGGGTACCAGCTCTATCCAGGAAAATATGAGAGGTGCTGCCATTCTTTCTTATAGCTCCATGGTATACATATACCACATTTTATTAATCCACTCGTGTATTGATGGGCACTTGGGTTGTTTCCACATCTGTGCAATTGTGAATTGTGCTGCTATAAACATTCGAGTGCAGATGTCTTTTTTATAGAGTGTCTTTTGTTCTTTTGGGTAGATGCCCAGTTATGGGATTGCTGGATCAAATGGTAGATCTACTTGTATCTCTTTAAGGTATCTCCATATTGCTTTCCCAAATGGCCAAGAAACATATGAAAAAATGTTCAACATCTCTAATCATCAGGGAAATGCAAATCAAAACCACAATGAGATATCACTTATCTCCAGTGAGAATGGCCTTTATCAAAAAGTCCCAAAACATAAATGTTGGCATGGATGTGGAGAAACAGGAACACTTCTACATTGCCAGTGGGACTGCAAATTTGTGCTGCGTTTATATACGCATTTTCCTACAGAGTGAGTCTTCAACTTTCATCAAAATTCTTGTTAACCCAAAAAGTATAAGAAATAGCAACACAGTAGACACAGCAGCAAAGTAATTTGGGTTGTAAGGTATCTGTTTAAGGTTAAGAGCAACCTGAAAAAAAGTGAAGGCCAATTTAATACATTGTTAAATATGAAGCTATTCCTGTGCTTTTAAGAGAGTGATAATATGAGTAAACTTCAGTATAAATAATCTGTGCAGAAATAACCATGGTAAGAAAGATTCTTCGTAACCATTGTTCTACGTGTGATGATTAGACTTATGCTAATTATTTCTTGAGAAGCATAATGGGGAAGCTGGACTAGAAACAAAAACAAACAAACAAAAAATGACTGGAAGGAAGAATGCATTTAATTTGAAAATAGATTTGCTAGGGAGATTGAGTAAAGATGTGATAGCTATGTTGCAGGTCCACTCAGCATATTCTCATTATTTTTCTAACATCTTACAGTTACTACATCTCCCATTCTTAGTGGTAAATGTATAACCCAAGCATGGCCAATTATTGTGATCAATTTTCCTATCACAGTAATAGACCCTGAAATGAGTATTTAGCAAACAAGCAGAGACAAACAGAGGCCTTCCCTAAATTGATAAATGAATATATTGGAAAGAAGTTCTCTTTCTTCGGGGTGTGCTAAGACAGGGCATAAAGCTGCCAGTGGCAATAGAGAGAACTTGCCAGAAGAAGAAAATTGAGCCAATA